GGTCCAACAGAAAATAGTGTCCGATTGTGAAGTGGAAGCAAAGGGATAAATGGTTTTAAATTAATATCCAACTGTGTGTAATTGTATCTTGGCATAAGCGTAGTTGTTCTGTGAAGATCTCAGGTGGTTACAGGACAAACAGCACCAAGGAGTCAGCAGACAGGTCAGGAAAATAGCTGAATGAGCTTTGCACAGCTGCAGTCTTACAAAATTAAGGATCTCCAGTTAAACTGACAGAGTGGACAAAAAAGATCATTAGTCTCAGAAGTAGAAAAGAAGCCTTTGGTAACTCTGGAGGAGCTGCAGAGATCCACAGCTCTTGTGGAGTGATTGTCAAATCAATCCAGGGCTGTACTGAAGGAAACTAAGGCTGCAGAAGACATTGGACTGGAGCAAAGGCTCATGTTTCAGTAAACAACCCCAAACATTAGCTTACGCTACAATGGAAACATGATGTACATTTAATACTACTGTATTAAAACTAGAATAAAGTCTAGACCTAAATCAAATTGAGAATACCTTTCCAGAAATGTTTAATTTGCAGTTCACAGAAGCTCTCCATCCACTGTGACCATTTTTTTTTCAAAGGGTGGGCAAAGGTGTATTTCACTAGAAGTTTAAAGATTGTAGAGACTTGTGTCAAAAATCTTTAAATAAGTGGGAATAATTGCACAAAAATGCAACACATGAAAGCTTGACATCGTAACAAAATATTTAAAAGATCAAAATAATCTTTTTTCTCTTCCACGAACTCAGATACACACTTAGCAGTTGTATTTATTTTCTATATTCAGAACAAACCATGTGATGTTCATTAGCAGATTTATGAAGGAAAAGTGTGACAGCAGAGAATAGGACCAGAGGGGGTTTTCCTCAGACTTTGTCCAATCAGGACATGGGAAACCAAACCCTTCCGCTCAAATACACTAACATAGCCTTGCGCACACACCCAGCAGGAAACCAGCACAATTGAAAGTGTAATTGTGAAAATGTTACTTATGCAAAGTGCTCTGTGTGTGACTCCACATGATGCTCACAGACGTCCCAGTAACCAGGCATTTACACAAACACAGAACAATCCACATTTTAGTCTAAATTTATTAATTTGCTTGCCGTAAAAACACGATACACTAAATAACACAAAGAGTCATTATTGGAGTTTTTATTGGGCAGAAATGTTCTCGTAAAAAAAAAAAAAAAAAAAAAGGGGCACATGCATGCTTGGTTTTGATGTGCTTGCTCGTGTGTGTGTGTGCGTGTCTGTGTTTGTGAGACTTTAGTGCGCCTGTTCGTGTCAAGGGAAATGGGCTAATTTGTCTGTGTATCCTGACCATGTTCGTAAGCGCTGCTGACGCTGCTTTAATGACAAACACATTTCAGACTGATATTACTTCCACATGCTGTGGAGAAACAAAGGGGACTCTCAGAAAATATATCATACGTTGCATACTCGCAGCAGATTCATTGCCATTAATTATTGTGCTTGATTTTTATTTCCAGACAGAGATTAATGACGAAAGTAGGAAGATATTGTCAGGGATAATTATGAGTTCACATGCTTTTCAGGGAGAAGTTGTAAATTAACACTAATATATTGTTGCTAAATTTAGAAATACTTGCTAAAGCTAATTGTGCTTCATTTAGATTTTAGACAAATAAAAAATAAAAAGACGTAGATTCAAATTCAGCTACAGAATTGCGAGAAATGTGCCCTAAGCTGTGGTTTGCTGTAGTTTTGCTCATTAGCCTGGAAAGCCTCTGTTCTGTGGCAAATCTGCTGCACTTTTAATAGTACTGCAAATACAGATACTTTTACGAATAAATGCATGAAAACTGCATCCGAACATGTTTGATTTAATTTGTAGTGACAGTGGTAGGAGTTTGTCTCACCATCAGCGGGTTGCCAGTTTGATTCCCGCTCTGTCTGCCTCTGTAGTTGTGTCTTTGGACACTTCACTGGTGGTCAGCAAGTCCAGTGGCACCGGTGCATGACAGCCTCGACTCCGAGTGCCTCTATAGTAGCTTGCTACCATCAGCGTGTGTGCGAATGGATCAGTGACAAAATGTAGTGTAAAGTGCTTTGTGGTCCAATGGACTAAATCTGGAACAAACTTCCAGAAAACTATAAAACAGCTGAAACACTGACTTCCTTTCAATTTCAACTAAAAACCCACCTGTTTAGAGTTGAATTTGAAACGTAATCAATTACAAATTTCATGATGGCACTTGACTCACTGTCATGTTTTGATTGTTGAATCTATGTTATATGACTTTGTGTTTTTGTGTTTGCTATAATGATACAAATAAAATTTGATTGATTGATTAAGTGAGCAAGTACATCACTTGCCATTTATTGTCCCACAGACAGGAAATTTGTGTGGAACAGCAGCATTAGATATTTAAAGTTTCATACAACAGTTCCAAAAGTGTTAAAATGTAAGATGAACAATAACAGCAACGATAGTATACTGTACAAGATGACAACATAAAAAATACTGTGCAGTTATTAGAATAGAAATGAGCAACTGAATTGGATTAAGTTTTTAAAATGTTCATGTGCATTAAAATATAAAAAAAACACAGCAAATTATTTACAATAGAGTATATTGGTTTTTGGATAAAGTGCACAATGATGTATTTTGAATAATTAATGTTTGTGTGAAATGCTAAGCATAACGGAGAAAAATGTGTTGGGGCTTTTGCGTGTAGAAAGATGAAATCTGGATTTATTTTGATAAACAGAAAGTCCAATATGTGTCCCAGCTAAAACGACAAAGAACCACTATCACTATTATTATGACAGCTGTTCAGTCTCTGAGGCTAATCCACACATGATTTCACAGCCAATAAATGTTTTAAAGACAAGAGGTAGTTATTAAAACAGTGTCCATATGTTGCATTTTGTGTGAATAGAAGTTTACAACAACAGAGTACCTCTAAAATCTTGCCACAAACAAATCTTTAGTATCATTGAGACAGAAAGTGGAAAGTTTGCTTTTCTTGGGTGACTCGCCTTCCAACAACTAATCAATCATATTCAACATTATTTCAGAGCAACTGTCAGCTGAAAGCCTAAATCTGTTTCTTGTTGGATTTTGGGACTTGGATCTTAAATGGTGAATGATGTCACTTGACAAATTATTAAAAAAAAAAAAAAAAAGCATTTGGTCTAGCACATGGAAGAATCTGATATTGTGGCAAATTCTTACTTCTTTTAGTGAATCATAAGAAGGAATAGGTTAAGATGGAATGCAATGAATTTATTTAAAACAAACCTGCTTAGTAGATGTCAATGTGGGAGTTAAAGTGGTGGATGCAGAATGAATGAAGAAAACCAGATAGCTTAAAAGGAATGAAGTGAGTCAGGCTTTTTTTTTTTGTTATCTGAGAAAACACAGACGATGGTTCTCCAAGACATGTGAAGCAGTGCAGACCTAAAGGCTCCCAACCAGTTCGCCTCCTCTGCGGTCGAAATCAGAACAAGGTGAGGAAGCAACAAGTAAAATGTCAAGGAGATACAAAAGTATCTTGGAAGGAGAGAACAAGAATATATAATTTTGGTTTTTTTTCTGAGATAGAAAATGGACCATTAATATGTAATATTAATTACATATTAATGCAAGTGTAAGGAGAAGTAGATGACATGTCTCAGAATATCATGCAGAGAAGTAATGGATATCAAAAAAGAGAAGGAAAGGAGAGGAAACTAGAGGAGAAAATGAAGGAGGACAAGGAGGAGGGGCTCATTAAAGAGCTCTAATGACCTGCTGATTGACGAGGGGCCCAATGCATGACCCCAAATTACTGCAGAGCCTGAGAACCAGTCCTCTGCTCTGGAAGTGTGAGGAGGTGGCGTCTCCACATAAAAACACAGTCAGTTGTATCCATGACCAAACATCACATATTCCTCTTGTAGTAGGTATTTACCTGGGATCTCTGAGCTTCAACGGAAAGGAATGTATTGGTTATTAGTCAAAGCATTGATGAAGAGATGTAACTTTTCGCTAGCAATTATTTAATCATTTAGAAAGAATCTTTTCAAATAATTTGTAAGTTATTACCAACAAGCATTAAGACGCTGTGGAAAATGTTTCTAAAAAGCTCGGGTTGCTATATAAAGGTAATCTCTTCACCATGTACTGTCATGGTAAAGAGTTTGACAGAAACTAAATCTCTTTAGTAGCTAAACCTAAAGCTCTCTAGAGATTTAGTTTCATCTTACGTGCATCAGAAAAGCCGACTGATGGATGCAAGATGAAATGTCGACAGCACATTTTCCACTCAAAACCTTATGAATGAGAATGTGTATCTAAAGTTGTGGCAGGTACTTTGTCTTGGAAAATGAAAGCTTTCAGTGCATGGTCTGAATAAACTCTTATATCCCAATGTGACTTTCTGAATCCATATTAGTCGTGTGTGTTTTACTTCAGCGACGTTCACCTGCAGTTAATTTGGCCTACTCACAGAGGAACATCTTTTCAGTGATGCAACAATTTACTTTTGTTTTGTTCGAGCCTTGCTCGTCGATTAGATAAAGTTTTGCACAAGATTAGTGATCTCAAAGCAGGAGTATTTGTCTAACTCCTTGAGTACATGCAAAGTGAGATGTACTCTTTAAATGATCCTACTAAGAATTAAAGTTCTCTCTGCACTAATGCAGTTTGGTTGCATTTAATTAAGAGGTGATGCCTGGATTAATTTATGCCTGGATTTATTTTTAGACATAGTTGTCTGAACCAAAATGGGGCTAGAAATATTGCGGACAATACAAAGATCACATGCAGAACTAAAATAACTGCAGAAACAGGACCTTAGTTGTTAATGAGGCATTAGAAACAGTGGACACAGAGTGAAGAACACCAGATAACCTATATAAGGAATGGAGTCAGTTGAGTTTTTGTGTTATCTGAGAAAACGCAGACGATTGTACTCTGACATGTGAAGCAGCACAGAAAGCGTTGTGGGATATAATAAATCACAAGCTAACAAGTAAAAAAAAAAAAAAGTCCTGTATCTCTAAAACATTCATAAACCAGCAATGGACAAAGCTATTCCAGCTACATATTGCATCTATAAGATGGTGTGACATATTTTTAAAATCAACACGTGCTGTTGCACTCGGCTTTGCATTTCACACATCTTAATGTCTCTTTCCAACTCATCTTGGCCTTTTGTCTGACAAACATGTGGAGGCAGTGAAGTACAGAAGCGCTGAAACATTTGTAACCAAATGAAGACCAGATGAAGAGGCTGAGATTCAGTAAAAACATGTGCTCAGATATATAAAGCTGCACACCAGACTTAAGCCTGTGCACATGCTTCACCCGAAGCTGCAACCGCAGCTATGTTCCTCTCCGTTTGCTCGTCCACAGTGCTAACACAGCAGGAGGAGCAGCTCTGCGCCTTCATTATGAGGCTGTAAACTTAAGAAATTTGTTAACATGCAGAAGTTTTTCCATCATTTGTGCACATTTCCAGGGAGCATCGAGTGTGATAATGTTCACTACTTGCTCCCGCTCAAAGGACTGTTTTCATTCAGAGAAAGAACTGTAATAAAAGAAAAGTGTTCAGTTTGAGGAACTCTGGCAATTACAAGAGACATTTGATAAATAATTATCCAAAAAAATGGTAAGCCTTTCTCCTCTATAAAATAACAGACTGATTAATGTGAAATAAGACTTGTGTGTATTTGAACAATAAGACCAGAACTGATATCTGATCTATTAAGAACATAATGCTTCATATTAAAACAGAGGAAATGAAATGCTGCATATTTATTTAGAAGCTGGTAAAACATTGAGATCTCAAGTTAAAAAAAGATATTGTGTGGCTATGCGTATACTTGCTTTAGCTTGTAACTGATATGAGCAATGTGGCCTTAAGCACATTATGACCTCACTCTTTTCCTGATTTCTCAGCATTCACAGCTTTACACGAGCGCGGATCAAGTTAACAGGAAGGCCAGCGGGCATGCAAACATACGCAACACAAGCACACACATATTCACACACAAAAACGTATACGCACACACACGCAAATCCATCACATCTTTCAGCTGCTTCAGAGAGCTCCTTTTTCCAAAACTCAGACAAAACCACAGACTAATTTGGGAATACATGTCTGCGGCTGTTGACACATAAACACACACACATTTCCAGAGCAAAGAAAATATACATGCATAGAACTGCAAAAACACATTCCCTAAGTGCTGCCTGATAGCATCTTAAAACAGTTATTACTTGTGGTGTGCGGTGTTGGGATAAGTGCTGAGAAGTGCTGGCTAAAACCTAAAACAAACTCTAGGCGATGAACACAACACACAGGACTGGAAACAACTAAAAGAAGAGAGGAATTAGAGTTTAACACAAAGCAGTTAAATTAACCGAGGTTTTGACCTTATTAATAGTTTCTTGTTGTCTCATGCCTATATATAGGTATATAGAGTATGCGTGGTTAATGGGCATGATGACGCCATTTTGATAGGAGCAGCATGTTTTCTAGTAAAAGTTCTGACTCGTTCTCACTGTTTCAGTCCATTGATGGCTTGTGTTGCTGCTCACCGTCCTACTACAGCGAGGTGAAAATGGACACCCGCTTAAATATCCAACCACTTCAAATAGAAATGTTTGTGCAGTGATGTTTCATCTCAAAGACAGAGAATTGATTGCAGTAAACACCAAATAGTAACCTTAGTTAGTTTGCTCATTAAATGAAGTAAATTAAATAGTGCTTCTCCAGGGTCAGTGTAAGAAAAATAAAAGCTAAAATGAAATAAAAAAAAAACATTGTTTTGTTGTGTTTATTATGGGTTATTTATGTAACTTGAATTTCTCATAGTTGTTAAAATGTACTTTAAATATCCATATGGCCATAATACAGCTGTTCTAATGGTTTCACTCCAGGTGTATCAGAGGTCGAACCTCCAGTCCTCCTGAGGTCGCGCCATGATCAGGTCACCAATCCATCGCCGGCCCTAAAATGAAAGAAAGACAAAATCGTTGCATCTCCAGTACTTCCAATATTCATTTTTACAAGTCTCCAACTTGTTTCTGTTTGCTATAAAATACAAATTATTTTTATTTTTTACAACAATTATCAGAGGCATTTGAAATACACAAGTACTTAATAACTTTAAGCAAGAAGTCTTGCTACTACAGGTCTGGTCAATGTTATCTTCATGTGGGTGACATTTCCAGAATCATGCTGCGTTTCTGTTTGAAGCAAAAAGTCCTAATGTGATCAGAGGACAGGATTCGACTTTGATTTTAACTTCCATGACCCTGAATCAAAAACTCAGGTTGTTCCGTATAATAAAACTCAGCTTGGAGCACAGACTGTTAGGGGAACAAAAAGACATGTAAGATAAGTTTTAGTGTGCACTAACGTTGTGTTCAAGTTGTATTTTAGCAGATAGTTTTCAAACAAGCTCAGAAAAACATGAAATAACAAAAAAAAGAAACAAAAGTAGCAAAGAAAAAGTCAGTGAAGAAGTGGGATCCCTCCCACCATCCATTCCCCCCCTCCCCTGTTTTTTGGCCAAGACGAAGATGGCAGTACAGGATTTCTTTTTCTCCTGTGGATAAAGAACAAGTAGAAGCCCTACTGTCCACTAATCACACTTAATGATTCAAATGGGTCTAAGACATACCTTTGAAATCAAATCTACTTACAAACTCACAAAGAACACACACACACACACACCCACACCCACACCCACACACACACAACCATACAAGGATACACTTTTGCCAAAAATTGTAGACACACATACACACATCTAGTAGCAAACCGATGTGCTGTTGTACACAGTGTGTGTGTGACTTGAAAAATGAGGAGAGGAGAGAAGATGTAACTGAAGAAGTGTGAGTTTGCCCTGTGGATGTTTCCGATCCATCAGCAGAACTCTAACTAGCCCTGCAGTTCCAACACTAATTGCTTTTAATGACATCATAGGTAAACGTGGACACACGCGCTCACACGCATACATTGATGGATGGACTTATGTTGGGGGGGAAAATAAGAAATGCTGCACACATTAAACATTCACAACTGGGCCATATAAGGACCATAAAACACCAGTTTGTCAAACACTCTGTGGGTTGGTATGCATCACCGATTTCTCCCAGTATAAACAGTAAAACTGTAGGAACCAGTAGAGCAGTTCTGGTCCTGATGAAGTGTAATTTCTTGGATTTGTAGGATTACAGGAGGTAGGTTGAGTTAACTTGTAATTAGGCTTCTAGGCTTTCTTTCAAGTTAAGTCAAGCTTATCTGTGTAGCACATTTCAGCAACAAGGAAGTTCAAAGTGCTTATGCCCTAAAACCATGACACAGTAATCAATCACAAAACAGCAATAAACATTACGTCTTGTCAAAGAAAATATACATCAACAGTGTCGATCAATGGTCCAGTTGTGAATCAAGAGTAACTCTAAACAGGTTTCAGTCTTGATTTAAAGGAACTCATTGTTTCAGCAGTTTTGTAGTTTTCTGGAAGTTTGCTCCAGATTAGTGGAGCACAGAAACTGAATGCTGCTTCCCCATGTTTGGTTCTGGGGATGCAAAGTCACCTGGTGACATCGTAATATGAAGCTGTGTATTGTCTCCGTCGTTATGGTCGCTAATCTTAGCACTTGTTTGCCAGTAAATGGAGACAAATTATATGTCGAAATAAAAACAGCTTGTGAGATTGCATCTGCAAACATGAGTGTGTACGTAGAGTATTACTCTGCAGCTACATCAGGCTCCTATAGCGGCATTTCCTGAAACTTCCGTGCAGGATAAGATATCCTCTTTCACTCCCATCCCCAAACAGACACACGCGTGCACACATTCAGAAATGGGCCGTAGGCTGCAGGCTTAGCTCAAGCTTTGAAGTAATTTGCAGGAGGATAAGATCAGGCTTTACTTTCCATATTTCAAAGAATTATGGGCCTAGTACAGAAGTGGGGCTATTGTGCTTTCAGGAGGGTTTAAATATTCCAATAAAAGAAGGAAATAGTGGCCGTTTCATAAAGCATTTACAATGATGAGAAAGGAAATAACAGGAAACCAGCTAAATATAAAGAAAAAACACTAATTGCTATAGAAAACAGAAAACTGTATTATAGTTACAAAACACGGCAGGAACTCCACAGTCTGACATTTACTTTTTTTTTGTTTTTTTTTACTGAGGGTATTGATTTTTCTCTTAAGCAGTTCTAATATAAAATCAACAAAACCTCTGTTATGATGTCATAGTTTTGGTTCAGATTTGAGCGTGGCAATTCAACATCAGAGTGGACTTTTGTCTGCGAGTATAAGTACAGATACAAACAACTAAGACAGTAGCTTCATTTCAGTCATCTGTAAAATAAAGTTCAATTACTTTGACGCAATGAAATGCAAAAAAACAACTAAAAATGTTTTGTAGGTTTTTGACATTTTTGCCAAAACTGGTGGATGTTCACGACATTTTTTTAGTGTAATTATGTAGCGTTAAGATGTAGCAAAAAATAATAAGTTATTCAAGAGTTTTATATAAAAAGGTTGAATTTCCTATCAGACAAACAGAACTTTAAAAAGACTGAAAAAAAATTTACTTTATGTTGCTCATCAATTATTTATGATTGCAAAAAGTAATCAGACTTCCATGTGCTAATTTAGATTAAGGGAAATAATCTATAAAACTAAAACCAAAGCAGTCCACATCCACCCAAACAGAAACTCATACTGGCCTATGCATGCGAGTTCTTACCCTGAGAACAACACTCTTCCTTCTGGGTGGCAGAAAGCAACACTGTTGGCATCTGCAGCTTTCTTTCTCTGACTAATCACTTCATTATGGAATTTTATGTTACCAATATCTTTGGTCCAGAGAGCTTTGTTTCTTCAAAACAAGCCTCTAGGTAAATATAAACACACTTTGTAAATTATCTAATAGATGGGTGGCATTATTCTCATTTTGCTCCAGCTGGCTTTGGGGAACCTATTTTGTTGTTTTGGAAAATTCCTGAGTCCGTTTAAATGCTGTTCGAATGCTCTGATCTTTTGTAAGTATTTCACTTTATATGGATCATTTTAAAACGCTTTATAGTAGGACCGACTTATAAAGCAAAGAAACAAACATATCTTTCACACTATTGAAGTGTTTTCAGTTCATGATTTCAACCCTCTAACGAGCACAGCCAATGTGAATGGTGGCAGAAAAAAAAGAGTCAGTTGTTTCATTATCCATCCATCTGGTGCCATTGCTTACCATTTGGATACCCAAAGTGCAAATTTTTTGCGGTGCCTCTCGCCCCACTATGGGAATATATCATAGTTCTGAATTTGTGGGTGCATTTCCATGATTTGGACAATTAAGACTCACGAAGAAAACATATTTTAAGTGGAACGAAAATGAGAAAACAAAGTCCAAAGTATGAAATGTGACAACAGGGAGTTTAATGCAGAACTCAAACTCATCCTATAAAGTGCTGTTAGAATAAGTTGTTTTTGTGCTGTTTCCATATGTTGTATTTATATGATTCAAATCCCCCCAAAACAGCAAAACGGTCAGTCTTCAAGGAGCTAACTGACCCACATTGTCACATGGTTTTCCTGAGGAAGATCATTTACAAGGAGCTTTTTCTATTTTCTTTCTGGATTACACTGGTGCATTTCTCAAATTTAATCAAAATTATAAAAGAAACATTCACGACTTTCAATCCTTTCTGCTCATCATAGCAGCAGTTTCTCACTCCTTCCAACAAATTGTATAAATCCCTTAGAACTCGCATCATTTGCCTCCTTATTTTCTGCAATTTTACATCATTATTGTTTGCTTATATCATGTCAATCAAAATGAACTATACTAGTTTCAATGCTTTAGTCAATGCAAGCAGGAATATTGAACTTGTCTTCAAAATCTGTGAATTGTATACTTTTCATTCTCAGTTTTCCCTGAAAATGTCTCTATCTGACCAGCTTCTCTCAGATGAACCTTATAGTGATGTTATTGCTATAAACATGGTGTGAGAACTTTTCATTTTGATGACAATGTTATTGACATAAGTATGTGCTTTTGAGGAAATAGTGGCACACTTTTGCAGGTTGACTAGGTCTACAGTTTGTATTAATTGTTTCAGGAGATGCACTAGTTTTTCAAGTGATGCACAAATGATGAGAAAGTGACTGGAAAAATAACTCTGAAACCAAAAATCCTTAATCAGCAGAACCTCTTCAAATTAGATGCGCAATATCTTAGATTAAGACACTGTAACACGGCTCAAAATCATTTCTAAAGCAGCACAGATGTAACACAGTGAGCATGTATGCATTTCTCATGTCTTGTTGCTTTTGTATTTCGCATTTTTCATGATTTTCATAGATTCAGAGCAAGTTGCTTCAGTCACATGCTATGAGTCTCCTGCAGCTGCTGCTTTCATTCACTATGTTGCATTTCTTTCCACAATCCCATTTTACCACCTACACTTCAGAGTAGTCACAGCTTCGATGTGTAATCATGGTGAGTCAGCTCCCTGTTCTGTGTTGAAAAATTACAGTTCATCACGTAACATTATAACCACATAGATCATGTGACGTGAGAGGTGGGTCGGTAATTATTCTATATATCCTTTATGTGTAACGCAGGTTTATTCCAAAGGCCATTAACAAGAAAAGCTATTATTATTAGATAAGAGTATGTCCAATGACATGTAAAAGGGTTTTGTTTTTCCATTTCTGGGTCTGGACTTCTTTTGAAACTGTCCCTATGACTGGACAATAGGATGGGTAGGATAGGAATTTGGGTAATATACACACATGCCTGCACAGCATAACTATTGAGTTCAGAGTGGCAGGCCACCTGCCAAAATGTAGTCAGACAATATGGCTACAGCGCTTCTAAATGCACTGTGGTCTGTGGAAATGGTAATATCCAGCAAGATAAACAAACAGAACCACAGAGTGCCTCTGTGTGTTTATGCTAACATGTACTCAGATGTTTGGGTT